AGTACCTTAATTTTTATCAGTTTTGCTATTGTTAGCATTTCAAGTGGCCCTCCATTTCTCAAGTCTTATGTTACTCCCCTCCACTCCAACGTTGTTGCTGGCCCAGAGTCCAACGTTTCCAACCATTATTCCAATCAAAATTTATACCTTCAGAATATATTATTGGGACGTAGATCGAAAGAAAGACAGTATCTGAATCATCTCGGAAAAGACTTGCAATTGCTTTTGTAACGCCCTCATTAGCAGCCATCGTATGCTGGCGCGGTCTCAGAGGAGCGTAAATTTGAGATCATAGGTCATTTTTACCACAGATGGTAACATGACAAGGTTATTACAGTAAATCATTAACGAAATATGACACTTAAATGTCTTGCTGCTAAGATTACCCCCAAAAGACGCACATTTGATCACATTGTCTGACGAAAAGAGTGGAACAATGCTGTTTAAGGCTTTAAAACGGTTTTTTAAGAAAATAAGGGACAATCAGGTCCTTCATCAGTTGTCAGTAAAACCCAATGAAATGTCAGTTGTCAGTTAAAATTTTGGCCATTTGTCAGTTGTCACAACCCCATCCAGACCATCTTAATACCACTAGCAAGGTGCACTGAAAACAAAGCGCTTGACCGTCACTTGTCTTTTACCCAAATGTGGTAATCAAGCAAGATGGCCCGTTCAGTCTTAAAGAATTTCTTGAACACTCAGTCCACCGCAAGTAGATTTTATAAAGGGACTGAAATTTGAAAACTTCCTCCCTCTAGTCTCAAAATCTTTAAAACGGTTGTGCTTTGGTTCTTCCTTGCAAATTCCGAATTGACTACTGATATACAAAAATTTAGTAAAGTGCGTTCGATGCACTTATTTCGGAAGCAGGACGCAAAGAACGATTCCATTAACACTCCTGCATCAGAAATATCCTAATTTGTGAAGTTTAAAAGAAGTTTTTATACAACTCTTAATCCAAAACGGGCATCAGTACTAGAGAGTTCAAATATGGACAAAACGAAATACATGCATGATAAGTATACTCAGTGGAAAACGCCTGATAAATTAAATGCATTTAATAGAATTTTACTATGTAACTTTCCCAGTCCCACACCTTAATTGCGGGCGACAAGAGGAGCCCGCAATCTTAATCTCCAGGCTGTTATTAAGCATGCATGGCATGTCCGTAGCCAGGATTCGTTTGGACTTCCACTAAGAATGAATGGAATGCACAGAACGCAATTTGATCACTCGTGATTGGACCTTCTATCACTGGTGATCTGATCAGGGCGTGTGTTTTGACCGACTATCACGTGAAACTTGCCCAAAGAAAAGCGTCGGAGCAAAAGGGTAATTAATTTCGACCTTCAATCGTTGTCACCCGCACTTTGCAACCTTTTGTTATCACTAGTTGATTGTCATTCAAATACAGTAAAATATAAAATGAACGTTTAATGATGAAACTCTCTCCCTTCCTTCATTCCTAGTATTCGAACAGAATGTAATCACGAAAGTCTAATCAAACGACTGAACCCGCGATAGCTATCGAATAAAAACACTTTAGAAAAGGACTGTGCAGTATACTGAAAAACCAGTATTTTAGATAATTAAGTAAAGAAATTAACAAATTTGAGAGTAAAACTCGTGGAAAGTCATGCAGCGATCCGTTGACTTCAATATAAAAAATATTGTTCTTTCGGTATACTTAAAAACAATAAATAAGCGCCGATATTGATTTCTATTACGTATTTATTCTTTTTAAAAATGTTTAAGGAAATTCAAATAAATTTCAGCTTAACAAATTTAATCCTTTGAAATGTTGCATTAGGGACCGTTCATTTTTTACGAGATAGGGGAGGCTGGTGGAATTTTTTGAACCCCTATTACGAATTACCATGGCCCCGTCCACTCAGTCCTCATTTTTTCTCATGCCCCCCCCTCCCCCGCCCCCCAAAGACGGTCATTTTTGGGGGGTGACCCCCATCCTTTCAAAAGAGACATTAGAGAGCTTAAGCAACGACGACGCGGACGGCAACGAGAACGTCAAAAAAAGCAATAGGTTTGATTAGCAAAACAACAACTTTGCACGTGCATCACGCTTTGTTTGTACATTTCTTTGCCGTCGTTACCCGACTACAACGTGAAAGTGCCTGAATTCACGTTTTGTCGAGGAAGGGAACACAAAACAGCAACTTTCTTTTCTTTTCCTGAACTTTGATAGAGTTGTTTAGAATTCAACTCCAAAAACATTTGCCAACATTTGACGAAGTAAACGAGATGGAATAAGCGCGATAAAGTTTGAAGCGGTGCGAATTCACTTTTTAAGTGACGTTTTTGTAGCCGTCGCCGTCGTTGTTGCTTAAGCTCCCTATTATCGTAATTAAACCTCACATGCATATTTTGCAGTGTACAATATGATTTGTATTTCCTCTTCAATGTAAAGCTGTTGACAACTCATTCTACAGATGTAGCAGCCACTTCTGTTAACTCAAAAAATAAATTCTGTCCATTCTAAGGTACTTCTTCACTTTTTTTCAAAGTCAAAAAGTCAATTTCCGATCTTCCGTTTAAGGATCTTCCAGAGCGTGTCGTTGCTGGCCTCTCAACGTCTTCCTCGTCATCGATAAAGGCAAGGATGACATCTTCACCCCCAGAGTTGATGGATTTAAAAACTTGCAAGAGGTGACAGGCCGCACATCTTCACCTGCGTAAAACCTTTGAAGACAGCGAAGGGTGAGAAACCATTGCTAATAATAGACTTTGTAAATAACATTGTCCCCCAAGAACAGGAAGAGACCTTGGGCAACCAAGGAAGTGCTAAAATTGTGGTGACTTATGGGCCAAAAAAGCCAAAATTAGAGTCCATTTCTATCCCACAGTGGGTGGTTGCGAACACTCGTATTTTTTATACCTTGCTCTCAGAGGGCAAATTATCTACTCAATCGGCTATTCAGGATTATCTAGCCTACACGGTCAAAATAATGGAATTGATAGCTAGGTACGATTGGAAGTCCATTCTTATGTACGATAATGAGTTTAGGAAATTGCAGGCTATCTATAAGTTTTCATGGAGTTTTGACTCCACACATTTGCATACGGTTTTACTTCAGCCCATTTATAAACCTAACCCACCCACTGCCACTACTAAACCATCTGCTTCTAATACCAACCAGCGCAACGCCTTTGCCAGCTTTACGCCAGATGGTAGGGTTATCTGCCGCAATTTTAATGGGCCCAGGGGTTGTACACTCCCAAATTGTAATTTTGCCCATGTCTGTAATCGTAAGATTGCAGGGAAGGCTTGTGCCATGTCTCACCCCGGGTTCTCTCACAAAGTTGCCGACCCTCCAAGCGCGCAAACACCGCAATGACAACCCCTACGTAAATTAAGTAATAGTCCCCTTAACCGCAATCTTTGGCTGTTAGAATTAAAGTACGAAGAGGATAACGCTTTCCTCAGCGACGGCATATGCAATGGCTTTAAACTGGTTGAACCAGGCACTCGCTTTTCTGATGTTGACATGGATAATTATAAATCTGCGACTAATCCTGTCCACAGACCCATGGTGGAACAAAGTATTCGTCAAGAAATAGCATTAGGCAATTATGTAGTCTTGCCTACTAAACCGCGCATCGTAAGTGCTTTAGGAGCTATTCCTGAACGCAATTCCCCTGAAATTCGCCTCATCCATGATTGCTCTCGTCCGCACGGACAGGCTGTAAACGACTACATCACTACTAATTCGTTTAAATTTCAAACTCTTGACGACGCTACTACATTACTGCAGCCAAACTATTATATGGCAAAAATTGACCTCCGGCATGCATACCGCTCTGTTCCCATTCACCCCGACAATTATAAAGCAACCGGGTGCAAGTGGCAATTTCTTGGTGATCATAGCTATACTTATTTTTACGATACTCGCCTGCCTTTCGGAGCCAAAAGCTCACCGGAAATCTTTCATCGCATAACGCAATCGGTCCGCCGTATGATGGCCAGACGAGGGTTCCCCTAACATCATCGTTTACCTTGACGATTTCTTAGTGATTGGCGCCACACGGGAAGAATGCCAGCTTGCATACGACACGCTTTTTCAACTGTTGATCGACCTCGGTTTTACCCTCAGTGAGCATAACCTGGTGCCGCCTACTCAGCGCTTAACCTTTTTAGGTGTTGGAACTCGACACCATGGCTGGCACTATGACCTTACCGGCGGATAAACTGGCAGAGTTACACATCGTCGTCCTCGAATTTCAAAACAAACAACGTGCGAGCAAAAAACAGCTGCAACGGTTAGCCGGCAAATTAAATTGGGCATGTGGTGTCGTTTATGGGGGCCGTACTTTTCTCCGCCGTATTCTTGATACCATGAATGCGTTGAGCCCTTCTGGGAAATTCAGATTAGACTCCTCTTTTCGCAGCGATATCGCCTGGTGGGTGAATTTTCTACGCATCTTTAATGGTACTAGGATGTTTCTAGATCACTTGGCGACAGTCGACGTGTCCACTGATGCATGTCCCGTTGCAGCGGGTGGCTATTTCAGAGGTGATTAGTTCTATCATCATTTCTCGCTGGACTCCCCAGAATGGCAGAACCTTAACATAAACCACAAGGAGACCCTGGCAATTGTACTCGCCGCACAACGCTGGGGTCCATTGTGGTCCCACCAACGCGTGGTTATCCATAGCGACAATCAAGCTGCTGTGCAGATAATCAACAAAGGAATCTCTTCCAGTCCTGTTGTCATGAACGCCTTGCGCAAGCTATTTTGGCTTTCGGCTCTTTACAATTTTCACATCACTGCAGTTTATTTGGCAGGCACTGACAACGCCCTCGCAGATTCTATCTCGCGCATGCATGAGACTACCGGCCTTCATAACTTTTACGCCTTTCTTTGTAGTAAATTTTCTACCGTTTCTGCTCAGTCCCGTTGGCTGCGAATATGTCGGTTTACAGCGTTAACTACCTTTTCTTTCATGTCCACGGGATCCTACCCTAGCAGCACAGCTCACAGAGGAAGTTCAGTACTATCGTTCCCAGCTTTTCGCTACGTCTACCAAAGCGACCTACAAAACCCACCGCAACACCTACTTTCGCTTCTCCAATCACATGGGCTACACACCTGTTCCTGTGCAAACACCACATCTTCTTCAATATGCCGCCTTTTTGGCTCGTTCGCTAAAACCACAATCTCTTCGTGGCTACCTAAACATTATTGGTATTTTACATAAGGAGTTTGGCTTCCCCAACCCTTTGATCGACAACTAGCCTCTAAAATCTTTGCTCACTGGAATTAAGCGCGCCGTAGGTGCCCCGCCTAATCAGAAACTACCTATTACTGAGGCTATACTTTTGCGTCTCCATTCTACGTTAAATTTTACCCTCAGCTTCGATGCTTCATTTTGGGCGATCTGTTTAGTCGCATTTTTTGGCATGTTTCGTAAGGCGCACTTGTTACCTGTTTCCTCGGGCAAGTTTGATTCTAGCAAGCAGCTTACCAAAGCCGACTTTCGGGTTTTTCCCTGGGGTACAGTCATCACTATTCGCTGGAGCAAAACTATTCAATTTCGGGAACGGGTGGTAGAAATACCCTTACCATGTATTCCCCGCAGCAGGTTATGCCCGACCACCGCCATTATTCATGCCTTTAGCTTCACCCCTTCTACCCCAGACAGCCAAGCCTTCAACTGGGTCCCAACCCCATCATCCGACCCACAGATTTTTACCTATGCATTATTTCTACGTAAGCTAAGGGACCACCTTTCCCTTATTGGTGTCGATCCTAAGTTATATGCGGGTCACTCTTTTCGTCGCGGGGGGGCGTCTTTTGCTTATCAGTCTGGCGTTCCGATAGAACTTATTAAAGCTTTAGGCGACTGGCGCTCGGATACCATCCTCATCTATCTAACCATGCCTCTTACTATCAGACTCAAAACAGCTAACATGCGTTGTAAATCCATTTTGTCTCACTCCACCTAATCTTAAAATGTACAGGAGACAATTTATTCAGTTGGCGCGTATTCCTGTTGAATTTGTAGCCCGTTTATGAGATTTGTCTACTCAAAAATATAATAATTTTTCCATAGCTGCTGTAATCTTACGGTATCTGCTTTTAATATTTCCGTAAAGTTTAGGTTTACGCGATCTCAGAGAACAATATTCAGCTGACAGCACGTAGACCAGCACGTAGGTCTTTAAATATATCCACATCTGACACTGGTTTTGTGTATTTATCACGTCTTTAGTAGAAGCGTGATTTAAATACATTATGATGCTGTGTCCTTTGAATGTCGCTTTGAAACTCAATCGCTTTGTAAATGTGACTAGTAGTTTTAATATCAGAGGAGAGTATTTTAAAGCTCGATATTTTTCAATACCATTAGCATGTTGTTTTTTTACCAATCAGTTGACTGGCTTCTTTGTGCAACTACATAATGTCTGCAGTTAAATATAAGTTTACAAGCAAGACCGGCGATTTCGAATCTTACGATTCTCATCAGTTGCTATGTGGTGGGATGGTTTAGGTGAATTCTGAACCAGTCCGTATTGCTTGATTTGGTAACCGTTTATGATCCTCCTGGTTTGTTTGGAGGATCTAAAATGATGCGGTTTGATTGGTTCCTTGCAAAAAAACAATCAAAATGAGAAAGAATGGCGAAAGCGACCAGTCTTTCAAGAATAGGTTCACTGCCGAAAGATCGCGGCAATTTGATCTTTTGCAAACGAAAGAGGTTGCCGACCAAAATGCAGACGGCTGCTCGAAAAGAGCATGTGAATTTCTCAAGCCAGGATATCAGCTTAAGCCCAGTGATGGCAGGAGATTGAACTCTTCGATTAAAGAGCACCAAAGTATGCTTGGGAAACTGAAAAATCGTAGTGAAAGCCTTGAAAGAATATGATTCTACGCTTTTCCAGTCTAATGGACTTATCTTGAAGCAAGGAGAAGAATTTGCTCACTACTTCAATGTAAAGCAGATCAAGTGCGTCGAGAGGCTAAGGTGCAAAAGGTAACGCGGGATACAGAGACACCAGAAGAAAGTAAAGACAGTTTTCGTAGCATTTTCAAGGGCCTACATAGAGACATCAGCAAGGGAAGAAGAAAAAAAGAAAACCGTCGAAAATCGAATGCAAAAAAAAAAGAAAAGGTTTGAAAACAATGTTCAATGAGTGTATAGTATTTGTGTCGGAAACCCGCTTAATAATGATCTTCCGAAATGTCTTCTGTATCCTCCTTGCCTTGCCGTCCCTGAAGGGTGCATCGACGTTGAGAAAGTTTCCGAATTGCTTTTTGATCGAGAAACGGCATACATTGCACAGCTCTTGCAAGGAAACCATTTCAGCAACCCCGCAGGAAGCAGAATTATCACAGACCTCAAGTCGGAGGTTAGAGATAATGTGTACTGCTTCATGTACCCTGGAGAGTATGCTATGACTGAAAACGACGAAAGCGACTCTAGCAGCAGCACGAGCGATGAGGAAGAGCTTGGCAATGATGACGGAGATGAACATGAGCAGAGAGACGTTGCACAGAACTAACCTGATAAAGAATCTTTTAATGATAGTTTCCTAGCTTTGAGAATTGTTGTCGTGGAACTGAACGCTGTAATGTAAACGCAGAACAAAAGTTTTTGATACATTTATATACTTTTGCTTGTTTCTGTATATGTAGTTTTATTTAGTAATAAAACATCTTGTCAACTCTACATGAACTAAAATATTTCGCGTGACCCCCCTTCCGTCCATTTTTTTTGGGGGGATGCCCCCCCTTTTAAGTCGTTTTTTTGGGGGGGTGACCCCCCCCCCATCCCACCAGCCCCCACTACCTCGTAAAAAATTGACGGTCCCTTATTAACTTGCGGTGTGCTTAAGAAGGGCAGGGTTTTTCAGTAATGCCACAGAAAGCAAAGCCTTTGCATATCTGTGTTCAATAAACAAGACAGCAAACGCTTGCATTTGTTTTGTCTTTTGAGATCAAGGACTTTTTTCATTATCTTTGCTGCCATGTTTTCTAAGTTATTTTTGGAGAGATTTATACAGGAGACGAAAGAAGTCTATTTAGAGCAAAAAAAGAAACAAACAAACAAAAAAAGAAAAATGCCAACACGATTTCCAATATTTTTCCAAGTAAACCTTTCGGTTAAATAGTTCTTAACGAAATAAAATTAACGAGAGGTTTGTTTAGGCTCATTTTCAGCAGCAAAAGTGTTTCCAGTGCGCACCTTGCTACTGTTTTGTCAAAAGTATGTTATATACCCCTTTATATCTAGCCGATAGTTTCTTTCTGATTCGATAAGTTAAGGAAAAACTCTGAATACAGTTCTGTCAAAGTTCGTGTTTCTGGTACTCTGCTATTGGAGGCAAGACCGAAAAATGGCAGGTTAGGCTTGCTCTTGTTCAGAGACTAAGCAACTGCGGAAGATGGTTTTTCATACGCTCCATGCACCAGAGCAAGACTGAATTAAACTATTTAGATTCAGCACGAAATTTTGGTGGCCTAGATTTGTAGTCTAGTATGTACTTTATTAGTAAATCTGATTGCAATAGCTGGACAGTGGAAGAAAGAAGAGAAACCTCAGGGAATTTTTTTTGTTCTTATAAGGAAAAATAAAGATAAATATCAAAATGTTCCTTTAATGCTGACACTGATATGAGATGCCCGGCTGATCACATGTTGATAAGCCGTCGTTCATTTCTGTTTACGTTTGAAAATGTAAACATTCCAATGAAAGAACTGTTCTCCTTTAAACGTGCATCTTCTTTTGTTCATAGCCAAAAATATAAGAAAAATTACAAAAATATAAACGAGAATTGAATGAAGTCTGAAATAATCTACTTTTGCTTTAAATGGGAACGTTAAATATTCAGAATCCACCTTAAAAATCGCCAAAATGTGAGGATGTTTTGAAAATCCTTTTGTAAACGATACTAGTTTAGTTCCCAGACCTCTCCCGTCTTTGCACATGCGCAGACGTTATTCAGCTTTGTCATGAAATACTAGAAAACAAGTGTTTGAACGCGACGACAATGGCCTCTCCATTTCTTACGCAATTTCCCGCCAAGAAAAACGCGGGTTGCACAAATGTATCGCACGATTTCCCGCCAAGAAAATATAACAGACACCTCCCCCAGACGGGCTGACACCTGATTCCCTTCCCTTCTCCCGCCCCCCAAAGAGTGTACTGGCTGGCGTACGCTGACGTCACAACCAAAATCTCCCGGATGGATGGTTTACCAAATTTTCTTAGCTATGGGGCTCCGCTCGCGCGCGCGAGGGCGCCAGGAGCTGCGGTATAACTTTCCCAGTCCACACGTTAATAGCTCACTTCGGAAAAGAGTGACAGCCTGGGGCCCAAACTAAGCGCGGGCATTTATGGGATTATTTGGGGACCCAATGTAAGTGAAACATGGCGGAAAACGAAGTGGAATGTTTCAACAGAGTTAAAACAGCGCAAAATAGCAAAACGGAAGGTGGAATTGGAAAAAAAATCATGAAAATGTGAAGCTGAAGGAAGAAGATGTGACTGGCGCAATTTCAAGAAAAATCAGAAGAATGCACCGTGAAACAGCTCCAGGGATGGCTTCTTTGCCGTGGAGCCAAAACAACCGGAAAGAAAACGCAGCTCGGACAAAGGTAAGTACGCGCGGACTGGGAAGTTTCTGAAGTTATTTGTGCACAAAAAACACATGTCAACAACTTGCATGTCTCGTCATAATTCAAGGTAGCTGCTCGACATGTTCCCCCAAACTATCCCAAAAATGAGCGTGCGCTTAGTTTGGGTTCCAGGCTATCACTCTTTTAAGAAGTGCGCTATTGTGAGCGACAAGAGGAGCCAGCAATCGTAATCTCCAGGTTGTTGTTACGCATGCGTTGCCAGCATTCTTTTGGACTTCCACTAAGAATGAATGGAATGCACAGAACGCAATTTGATCACTCGTGATTGAACCGCTCGTGTCTTTGGTATAGGACGTGTCGGCCTATGGTCGAAGATGCTCCTCGCTGCACGCGAGAAAAAACCTTCTGTTACCCAGGGTATTAATGACCGATGATGATTTGTTTTTAATTACTCCTTTTAACTGCAGATGCTGACTTACGAAGATGCTAAAAGGAGGTAAGTTAGAGAAGCGAAACAGTAGTTTTATTACGGTGGCCGAGTGCAACAGCTTCACAATATACAACGATGCTGTTTCTACAAGTAATAAGCCTATAGTTTTAAAATTGATCTCGTCTTAAGAATTGCTCCTTTTTCATAGAGAACCGCCTTCTCCGTAGAAATACGCCTTCTCCGTAGAAGTGAGCATCCTTCAAAGAAACACACTTTTTCCGTGGAACTAAACCTCTATCGCAGAAGTGAGAGTTTCCTTAAGAAATGAACCTCTTCCGTTAGAAATAAGTCCTCAACTCCTGTACCCCAACTCTCCCAACCAGTAATTTCAAGGTTACAACTATTTTATTACAATCCAGTAGTTAATGGGTTACAACCACCTCGCTGTGTTTATAAACCTGTAATTTGTAGGTTGGTAATCTCCGTTATACAAGTCACATAGGTCTGTGCCGCCCCAAAGGGTATGTGGGCCTTTTCGGCCCGAAAACGGGTATAGACCAGTTGGTCTGATCTGGAATAAGGCATAGTTTTCGAGGGAACTATAGGGGAAGTTCCAAATGGGTAAGAAAGAAACAAAAACATGCGCATTCGAAATGGATTTTAAGAAATTTCTTGTTAAAGTTCTAGTCTAAGTGATGATGATATATTTTCTGCTTATGCAGCAAAATAACATATTTTGGTCTAAAATAGGGCCAGGATTCGGAGAACAGGGCGGCACATCCCCACCAAGAACTCCCAGGATACCCCTCGGGGGCTATCCCTTCGTCGGAGCGAATCCTGTTGTCCCATCACAATATCAAAGACCTTGAACTTCGTCGAAAATATTTCAGTGCTAATCTTCTCTTCAACATTGTGCGATATGTGATGAAACACTGTCTCCTTTAGTGATGTAATGCTTTTTCATAATTTTCTCTTTTCCTCTGTAGCTCGGCTTGCTCAAGTACAGTAGAACAGTCACTCGACGAAGAATCCCATCTTTTAACAGAGGAAGATATTGATAAGTTATCAATCATTTACGAGTTTTACATATTTTGAGCAACAACAATTTGCCGTCTGTTGTCTTTGAATAGACTATTTGTTTTGCAGTGTGCATGGTCTGAATCGCTGTATTCTCCTTGTCGTGTGGTAATATATGGTGGACTGTCAAGTTCTGAACTATATAAAAGCTTATGTTCTCTGGGATTTCGTTCAGTTTTACTTGGAACATACCTGCCCATTTGAGGTGGGTTACAAACGAGTTGCCCTCGTTTGTAACGAGGGTGCCAACTCCACAACCCTTGACAGATGGGATATGGTTACTGCTAGAGTTTGCTACGTTTCTTTAATGGTTATTTTACATACAATAGTTCAAGTGTTACGAGACGGGGCCTACGACTTTCCTTCTTCATCTGAGAAGACCATAAATGTTAACTAATTGCAAAACCAGAGCAAAGGCAGTGCATTTTCCTCAGTTATCTCAACTGCGACCCTGAGGCTGGTGCGGCCGAGAACTCGGGCTTACCTCGCCCTAGTGGCTCAAAAGGTGGATAGTGCTGTGCACCGAATAAATTACTATCCAGTGGTAAAGGACCGGTCATTATTTATCACCTGGGGGAGGATTGTTTGGGGGATCACTTGATTTTTGAGAGAAAAAAAGGGGGAATTAGTCGTAACTGAGAACCCAAAACGGGGGATCGCTAAAAACTTTGGAAGGATTCAGAGGGGGGACCACTCAAATTTGCTTGGAAAATGAAGACATGGGAGGGGGGATCGCAAATTAAAGTCATCAAAAGTTATTAGGGGGGATCACTTCAGTGAAGTAACATTCAAAGGGGGGATCGGCTAAATTTCCCCTTGTTTAACCCAAATCCTCCCCCCTCCCCCCAAAGGCGATAAATGATGACCGTTTCCTTAGCGCAATTGGATTTCAAAATACCCATCCATTGGATAATCACTTATCCGGTGGATAGCACCATCTGGCCTGTTCTAGGCGTTCAGATAGTGGAGTGCGGCGTGAAGGAGTCAAAGAGCAGGGGAAAAATAAGGAGGGTGAGTGGGGAATGGGAGTGAACTCCTTCGTTCTTACCCCCTACCCCACCCCTTCGCTGTTTATCCTGCTAACATCTTTATGCGCCATTCACACAATCTGAACTCCAACAGGATGAGCGCTATCAAACGTTTGAATAACAGGAGCCAAATTTCTACTTGCAACTCCGCACATGTCTTACCTTCTTTTAATCATTTTCTTTTAGCTTTCACGGCATGTCCCATCATCCACCTAGATACTGGTCTATAGTACAAATCAACATGGTATGAGCCTGAATATGCTCTATCATAGGCTGACCTACCAGCCTACCAGCTGACGGTGTAATAGGACAGTACTGCCTAAGTAATTGGACAGTGTACTCGCCACTTAAATAGCCACTTAAATAGCTTTTTTTTGACCGCTAGCAG